GAGTCTTCATTGTAGGAGGATGCAGGACCCCTGACCTCTGTCTGGACAGTGCTGATTGGCCCTGTGCTGATCACATGCACTCTCCCAAGAAAAAAAAAGCCTCTCTAGCAATACACACCAAACTGAGCATGTGCAGAGTGTCTCCACACGATATGTCTAATCAGGAGATGAGGGGGGCACTGGAAGAAGGACAGGATCAGAGAAGTCAGGATCAAACAGCATTTTTACACAATGCAGAGGATTAACCCCTTAGGTTCCACAGTGAGTATAACAAGCATGCTTTACTGCATATACAGGCTGATTTTATTGTTGTGGGTTTAGTAACACTTTAAGGCCATCATTACATACACACAGCACATAACTAATTTTTAGGTTGCATATCAGCATGGCTATACCGCTGTCTGTCTTTAGCTACGTTAGAGATTCTGTATATAGGCCTTCAGAACAGACATTGCACAGTCCACATGTGTTTATCTGCTGATTCTCTACAAACAGGGAACAGGAAACAGGAACTTTATTATAGAGAAAAGACATAGAGTTTAACATAGATGCAGCTACAAACTAATAAACACTGCCATCTACTGGTTGAAGAATATATCTCTACTGAAAACTGAAGTAGATGTTGCAAAATACGTGAACACTATTCCAACAATTGCTTTAAAGGTTAAGTTCACCTTCACCCCCGTGACAGCTCCGCCCGCACAGCCGTATTGTTTATTCACAGCCACAAATGACATGCAGTTCTCAATGAGCTGCGAGGGTGATGGTGAGCACTCTCTTAGTTTATTGACACATCCTACAGAAAGACCATACACAGGTACGGGCAGAAAGCTGGAGATAGTGTCTGCAGGAGCCTGACACTGCCCCTGCAATCTGCTGATGCTCATGCAATGCTCTGCAGGCTTCTGAGAAAAAAATATAGAAAAATAATAATAAATGCACCTTTTTTACTTACAAAAACATATGCATTTACTTTTTTAAAGGTGAATTTTAAAGTATATTTCCACTTTTTCCAATATTTGTTGCATGTTTCCATACTCAGCATTTTAAAAAAAATGCTGTTAAGATTTTACTTGCTCTTTTCTGAAAACTCCAAAACTAAAGTCTTCCTCTGCTGTGCAGAGGGGACTTGGGAGTTAAACTACTATCATTAAAATGTTTAAAACTGTAATGAACTCCCCAGGGGACCAAGTGCATGTAGCACGTTGTCCCATTCTAATTGGAGGTCCCATAGCACCCATAATGCAGCTCTTTATGCTGGCTGTAGCTTCACCCCCTTCTGAAGCCCAAATTATGGGTGTTCATGTGGGGAGGTGCAGCCAACACTGAGCCTGGCCCCTTGAATGAGCAAGCAGCGCAGATAGTAAAGTGAATAGCTGTGGCTCTGTATATTTTATCTACCTGCTCCCTGTATGACGTAAAAGTAGCTGCAGATACATTACACAGCGATGCTTCTCTGAATGATCTTCTACTACTATATATACTGAAGAGGCGATCCTCCATTCATAATAGTGACAGATCACTTAGAGCTTTGGCCATGTGTGTCTATCAGCAGATGCTTTTACACATACACAGCCCAGCCAATAGATCACACAGCACTGCAGATTTTTTCAATTTTATGAATGATTGATCAGCAATGTCAGGTCAGAGCTGTGTATAACACACTCCAATAATGCTGGTGACTCATTCATAAAACTGAAAGATCACTCGGCGCAGTCTGATTTATCACCACGGCTGTGTATGTGTAAGAACAGCCGCTGGCCACCACAGAGAACTTACATTCATAGGCTGTGAACAAGCCTGTGTACACACTAACTAAAGCCTGGCACAGACATTCAGCGAGGTTATTACAGCGATCTCTCACCCTGTGACTGCCCCCCCCCGCCAGAACACACTAATAAGTGCTCACAGCCGTTGGCAGTGAGTGCTGATCAGATGCTGCCCCAGAGGTCCTGGAAACCATGGAGAATCCAGGTTTCTCCTGACTTCCTTTCCAGCTGCAGTACCGCATCTGGACCTACAGAATCTACATTTGCCAGAAGCAGATGTATAAAGAACTCTACAGATGACTTGTAGGAGAGGTCTAAAGCCCATCCAGACATTGAGAGTTTACTGAGATATCTGCAGTTGCAGAGGGATTTTTGGGGGGTATCCTCTTCCCCTAACCCTCCCTCCCCAAGACGATTGAGCCACTAAAATTGCAAAACAAGATTAAAAGTATTGGAATCTCTTTGTCCATCTGGGTTATTTATTTATTAATATTAATTCCATTTATTAATTCATGCAGTACTTTACATATATATTGTACATTCACATCAGTCCCTAACCCTCAAGCAGCTCACAATCTAAGGTCCCTAACGCACATTCATACATACATATACTAGGGCCAATTTAGACAGGAGCCAATTAACCTACTGGCATGTCTTTGGAGTGTGGGAGGAAACCAGAGTACCTGGAGGAAAATCATGCAGGCACAGGGAGAACATGCAAACTCCAGGCAGGTGGTGTCATTGTTAGGGTTCAAACTAACAACCCTGGTGCTGCTAGGCAGAGGTGCTAACCACTTAGCCACTGTTCTACCCTCAGATTGGTGAGTGTCTCGGAGTAGCTAAAAGACAGGTCACTGTTAAGAAGGCTAGCAGAGTCTGATGAATTTCCAGCTGCTTCTGCTATAGTTAGAATATAGGAGAAAGAATCTTCCTTCCCATATGGTTTTATTCTGTATGATCTCACAATAACACACTGGTATTTTTGAAAAAAAAGTGCAGAGCAAGGAAACATTCACCCAAGGCGATGTCATAGGTCAAGAGATTTAAAACATCATGATTGTCTTCCTTTACTCAATACATGCACAGACTTGCCTGTCTACACACTCTGACAACTAAAATCAATTTTGAGGAAGACCTGGTCATTCACAAAAGTTTACATGTAGCAGACAGTCCCATGAAAATTCAAGTCTTATGTAAACCAATATGTAACCTTTTCCTTTGTGCAGGTGTATAAAAAATGAAATCACAGTTGCAATATGTAGTGAATTATCCACCAGATGACATATATATTTGAAAAAATATAATTTTTCACATATGTATGTCAGTTAATAAGTTATAAAAATAGCCCTAATAACTGCAAAGACACATCGGCATTATTATATATTAGCAAAAGTGTGCCCATTCCAGAACAGTTAAGGTTGGGTAATGGCAGCAAGGGAAAGTGGGGTTTGCAGAATCGGTGCTGAGGGGGGAAAGGAGGATCAGGTTTTGGGGAAACGGGTGTAAGGGGGTGTGCTTCCAGCAGGTTTAGGATGAAAGTAGAGATGGGCTAACATAAGAGAGGTGGGTACATACAATATGCTGTGGTGAAGGGGGTGCACAGCAGTGGTAGTGGGAAAGAGGGGTTACATAGTTAGTCTGGCTGAATAAAGACAAAAGTCCATCTAGTTCAACCATTAGAAAAAAAAAAAAGTTATAATCCTATACTCACAGTTGATCCAGAGGAAGGCAAAATAACCCAGCAAAGCATGAAGAAATTTGCTCCCGCAGGGAAAAAAATTCCTTCTTGATCCCCCGAGAGGCAATTGGATATTCTCTGGATCAACTTTACCTATAAATGTTAGTATCCAGTTATAATCTGTGTATCTAAGAAAGAATCCAGGCCTTTTTTAAAGCAATCCACTGAGCTGGCCAGAACCAACCCTTGAGGGAGTCTATACCACATTGTTACAGCTCTTACTGTGAAGAAACCTTTCCGTGTTTGGAGATTAAATTTCTTTTCCTCCAGGTGCAGTGTTGGTGGAGGTATGCAGGGCAGGGGGAGTATTGGGGGGATGTTTTTGGAAGGCTTTTTTAATGGTAGAATCAGAGGGGCGTGTGTGTGCAGGCAATGGGTAAGGGTTTTTGAAGGGGAGAGCTGTATAGGTGGATTGTTGAAAACTGGGAAGAAAGTATGCAGGGATGGAAGGGGTAGTGTGCACAGACTCCAGTTGCATCCACAGCTGGTTGGTGAGGTACAGGTGAAGTGTTGGAAGGGGGAGTGCAGGTGTGGTGGGAGAAGGGACTTGCAAGCATTGTCTATGCATGTGTTATTTCTTTATTAGTGTTTGTGAATGTCTATAGATGCATATTATACATTTGTCTTTATCTTTATTTCCACAGGGATTAGTTGGTAATCGATATGGTTATAGACCCATGCCTCGAGTTATTGGTGAGGAAGAATTTAATATTCTGCATAAAAAAGTACTCATGGATGAAGCCCAGGCACAGTTGCTGGCCCACTGGTATTGGAAAGACACCAATTCTGTTCCTCCTATTTATGTTTTTCAACCAATCACAGTTCACTTTCCTCATTTCTCTGACACAAATCCATCCCATGCAGAGCTTCAGGCAAAAGAAATCAAGGAGTGGAGAGAAACTAAAAAACAACTATCTGAGGCAATGCGTTCAGCAGCAGAAATTGCTCAGAAAGAAGGACTGATTACATTAGAACAAAAACACAAGTATTTCAAATCAGGTTTGTAATTATAAATGTCTAGAGGATTTTGGGGTGGCTTCTGTTGCCTTAGGTTAAAGGGGAACTTTTTGTTTTGCATAGAATTAAAAGGGTAGTGTCCTTAGTCATATTTTCATTGCTATCAGAGTCTCTCTTAAAAAGATTTTTCTCACTTCCTGTCCTGGTGTCACAGACTAACTTGCTGTGAGCTGCTTTTCTTGTTTTACCTATCTGAAGTGCATTCTTTTTATATTCTTTGGAGAAACTACTAGGGGCTATTGACAGTGTCACAGGAAATCTGTAAGATTTTTCAACGGAATATGCTGAAAGCACACTGCAGGGTGTATCACTTGTTAGAAAAGATGTTAGGATGTTAGGAAAATATCTCCAATGAGAACAGAGGCAACAGTAAAAAAAGCTAACAAAAGATCTAACTCTTCCACATCTTATCCAAAACTAAAAGTAAATCAAAAGCCATTTTTCCAGTTTGGATAGAGCACGTTTTTGTATCTCAGAGTCCCATTAGTGAGGTTTCTTTTTTACTTCCTGTCTCCTGTTCTGTAGACAGAAAAGTAAGTTGGAGGAATTATCTCCAAAATTTGTCACCAACAGAGGTGTCCCCAGTGGAATATCTTCTCATATCTTGTGTTCTGGTGACAACCCAAAATCTTAAATTTTCCCTCAGTTGAAATTGTTACCAGGACAAATGTAAAACGAGAGTCTCCCTATAAAAAGCAATGACATCATTCTAGCTCATCAGCACCCCATCCAAAACTAATAAAAATTGCTTTAGTACAAAGTCTTGAAACTTTGAGACTGAAAATTGTTCAATCAAACGGAACTTCCCCAAAAAATGCATTTTTGCTAGGGGGTCCTGGTGTTTAGTCCTATCTACATTCCACACAAATAGCACACCTGGTTCTAGTGGTTTCTGAGAAATATTTGCCACAATGGATTGATATGGAAGTGCTAGCTTGTCCCAGAGTTACGATCAATTCGTTGATATGGCTTGCTGAGCAGGTTGCAACCTCCCATCCTATGCTTATCCCTCTCCTATATACTTGCGGTCTGGGATAGATATAGATGTGCTAGAAGGTTACACTTTTGTCATTCACATTTTGCTCTTTTACTTAATAATGTGGAATTTCCCCTGGGTCTTCAACCACATTCTTTTCAATGGTGGGAAAACAAGGGATTGTGGCAGATAGATTCCCCATAAACATTTCCAAACTAACTTGAAAATACCCCCACTGAAATGTTTCTCTATCTTCAAATTATGTCTTGGTAGCTAACAGACCCTCGCCCACTCACCTTAAGGCTGGCCATACATTATACAAATGTCTTGAGAATTTTGCTTTAGATTTACCAAAAATCATATAATATGAGATCAAACCTAAACAACACTTTCAATTGTATCCAATTAGGCAGGCCCTTGCACTACATAGTTGAAGGTAAATCTAAAGGAAATTGGGCAGAAATTGGACAGAAAATTGTCCTTTGAGAATTTCTGTAGAGCGGCCACACCCATAAAAGGATATGTATCTTCTCTCTAGGAGCTCCTAACAACTTCATTGCACAAACTTCCCTATATGATATTCAATAAGTAGACTGAAATATAAAAGTGCATTTTTGAAAAGTGAATACATAACAGTCTGAAACAGTGTTTTTATATACAGTGAGGAACAGAAGTATTTGAACACCCTGCGATTTTGCAAGTTCTCCCACTTAGAAATCATGGAGGGGTCTGAAATTCACATTGTAGGTGCATTCCCACTCTGAGAGACAGAATTTAAAAAAAAAAATTCAGGAAATCACATTGTATGATTTTTAATGAATAGATAAATTAATTAAATTCATTAAGTCTTGCACTGCTGAATATAGGTATTTGAACACCTGAGAAAATCAGTGTTAATATTTGGTACAGAAGCCTTTGTTTGCAATTACAGAGGTCAAACGTTTCCTGTAGTTCTTGACCAGGTTTGCACACACTGCAACAGGGACTTTGGCCCACTCCTCCACACAGATCTCCTCTAGATCTGTCAGGTTTCGGGGCTGTCACTGAGCAACACGGAGTTTCAGCTCCCTCCAAAGATGTTCTATTGGATTTAGGTCTGGAGACTGGATAGGCCACTCCAGAACCTTGATATGCTTCTTACGGAGCCGCTCCTTGGTTATCCTGGCTGTGTGCTTCGGGTCGTTGTCATGTTGGAAGACCCAGCCACGACCCATCTTCAATGCTCTGACTGAGCGAAGGAGGTTGTTGCTCAAAATCTAACAATAAATGGCCCCATTCATCTTCTCCTTAATACAGTGCAGTCGTCCTGTCCCATTCGCAGAAAAGCACCCCCAAAGCATGATGTTACCACCCCCATGCTTCACAGTAGGGATGGTGTTCTTGGGATGCAACTCATCCTTCTTTTTCCTCCAAACACGACGAGTGAAGTATAGACCAAAAAAGTTCTAATTTGGTCTCATCTGACCACATGACTTTCTCCCATGCCTCCTCTGGATCATCCAGATGGTCATTGGCAAACTTCAAACGGGCCTGGACATGTGATGACTTGAGCAGGGGAACCTTCCGTGCAATGCATGATTTGAAACCATGAAAGCGTAGTGTTCTACCGACAGTGACCTTTGAAACTGTGGTCCCAGCTCTCTTCATGTCATTGACCAGCTCCTCCCTTGTAGTTCTGGGCTGATTCCTCACCTTTGTTATCATCAGTGATACCCCACGAGGTGAGATCTTGCATGGAGCCCTAGTCCAAGGGAGACTGACAGTCGTCTTTAGCCTCTTCCATTTTCAAACAATTGCTCCAACAGTTGATCTATTTTTACCAAGCTGCTTGGAAATTGCCCCGTGGCCCTTTCCAGCCTTGTGGAGGTCCACAATTTTGTCTCTGATGTCTTTTGACAGCTCTTTGGTCTTGCCCATGGTAGTAGTTGGCATCTGACTGACTGTGGGGTGGACAGGTGTCTTTAAAGAGCTCAGACAGGTGCTACTAAGTTAGATTAATGAGTGGAGTAGAGGTGGACTTTTTAAAGGCACAGTAACAGGTCTTTGAGAGCCAGAATTCTTGCTGTTTCTTAGGTGTTCAAATACTTATGTTCAGCAGTGCAAGACAAATAAATTCTTTAAAAATCATACAATGTGATTTCCTGAATTTTTTTTTAAATTCTGTCTCTCAGGGTGGGAATGCAACTACAATGTGAATTTCACACCCCTCCATGATTTCTAAGTGAGAGAACTTGCAAAATCGCAGGGTGTTCAAATACTTCTGTTCCTCACTGTAGGCCTAGAGCTCAGCTTTAATCCACAACTTAAAAGTTTCAACACTTACCAACACACCTTGAGGTATTTCAAAGAATTTATTAGGCCAAGCATAACCTAAAAGAAGAGAGGATTAGAAAATACACTTATGCAAACAATCTATATGGTTAAACACCTGCAGTATTCTGTCGAACAGTGATCAACAGATCTGAACAACATTTACCTAATTTGCTGTAACAGTTCCAGTTTTAATGGCCAAAAACAAAAAAAAAGCTGACTGGCAATGTTGGGGCCCTTGAAGAAAGCACAGCAGTTCCCAACAGACAACAAATTAACTTATGCAATGTTATCAGACCCAGGGCGCCCTCTTTTATGGGTCTCCAAACACATGTTGTGGTTCAGTTCAAGTCTTCAGACAGGGATAGGACTTGCTGTGATGTCTCTTTTTCAATCCTACTGAAACAGTCTAATTCTGAGCCCATGCTAACATATAGTATTAAAGTTCATATATCTCTGTAATTCTTCAGAGGCTCACTAGTTTTTTCTGGAGCTACTTGAGTGTATTTCCAAGGCTTCTATAAGCCTTTTTGAGGCAACGTAGATTGTGCTTTGGACGCCCAATGTCCACATTAGGCTCCAAGGTTTTTATATTGCTGGCCAAATCCAAGAAGTTAAGTGACCTTGAAGCTGGCCACAACAGTCCACAAAAGACCTGAATGATATGTGGAGTCAAAATGGGTTTGTGAATTAAACAGCTTATCTGCCATGGCGGACAAACAGTCTGTTTGAAATAAATACATGTTTACCTGCTATAGGATTTGTAATTAATTATTGTCAGTTCTGCAATTTGCACATATCTGTGGCATCACAAATCAGATGAGACATCTATTTTCTGTTTCAGCAATGCAGCTTTCATTGTCAACTTGCGGCTCTCCAGCTGTCTTTCTCAATATACACTAGACAACTAAATAGTATCATCATCCCTGTCCAATTAGTAGCACCATGATACAGGAGACACGAATATTGAACCAGAAAGTAGCAATGTGAGCTTTGAGACACTGCAACATTGGTGTGGAGATCACAAGAGCAGCTGAACGAAATCTTCCCATGTAGACAGTAACGTGTTTCAGCTGTAACTATAGCTGTTTTTCTGAAGTTTAGCTTTAGTGTAATACCAGTTAATGTATTTAATAAACTATTTTGTATCTAATTTTTTTCAGTGACAGAGTTTGAGATTGATTGTGGACTCTTTGCCTCTGACACAGATGAAGAAGGCTCTACTATTTTCTTCAGGGAAATTAAAGACATTGATCTCTGTACAGATAATGTTTTAGAAATGTTAGATGTCAAGGAAGATGGGAGTCCTGACTCAGAAGCTCATGATCTTTTAGAAGACCTGAAATACAGAATTGCCGAGAAACATCCAAACAAAGTAAAAACATTCACTGTGGAGCTAAGTAAACAGACGTTAAAGAACACTTACCTTAAGAAGCTTTGTGACCAGGTCAATGCTCTTGTAAGTCACCAGATACTTGGATGTCTGTCAACAAGAGAAAAGGAGATATCAAAATCACAGGTAAACAAAACTACTAAATTCAAAATACGTTTATGTAACCTTGTACATGTAATCTTCTACTGCTCTTAGAACGTTTTTTAGCTGGTTGCATTCTAATTTTAAGTAATGCATTCTATATTTTTATTGTATCTAAAACCCCATTTTTTGGGGTTTTGGACAAAGTATAAAAAACCCTGTCAAGATTATTTGCTGTCAATGTCCCATAAGGCCCCTTTCACTCAAATGTTCTGATCAGGTCTGCCTGTCCTATTTTCAGGACCCGATTTGAACCTCCATTCTCCTCTATGGAGCGGACATATGTCCATTTACACCCGCCTACATCCAATATGATCTGATCTGCCAAAAACAGATGGATGAGGATCCATTTCCCTTTCGTCCAGTGATCAGTTGGCAGTCGGGTGTAAGCGGACACTTGGTTTTTTTACATTCGACTGCCCATAGAGGAGAGCGGGCTTTGTCCGCTCTGCATAAGTGAAGCAGACATGGACCTGTCATCCCCCTGCTCAGGATAAGCAGACAGATCCCCTGCTAAGCAAGCAGATCTCAGTCAGAGTCTGCCATGGGTGAAAGAGGCCTTAGGATGATTATTCTTCACTTTTGTCGCCAAATACAATAGGAAGGCAAAAGGTGATCTCTTCAACATAAGGAGAATATTAGACAAATGTCACTGGAACAAGTGTCCCTATTGGAAGATCTGTTTTCCTCTACCAGTGACAAGCCAATATTTTGGATTTTCCCTCACTTTCAGTTCTAGCGACAACACTCACTAGAGCAAATAGAGAGGGTGAATCTCCCTAATGGGGATGCAGACAGCACTAAGAATTTTAAATGGGTTCTAAACCTATTCTGCCCCCCTCCAAAACAAGAAAAAATATTTTGGCTTTAGATACAAATGTTTCCTATAGCAGGAATAAAGGGTTGCACATGAGTGCTTATAAATTGGCTTCTAGCATGTAAAACATCATACCACATGACCTTTTTGTGACTGAACAGAATAGTCCAGGCTTTTGTGGCATTTGAAGCCAAAATCTCGGCAGATATAAAAGATACACAATAAAACAGTTCTGCAATTATTAATGCATTATACTTTTTTAATTTTACCTGGCATTACCCTGTACAGCAAGGCTGGAGTGTGAGAAGAAGAAGAAGCAATACAAGGAGATAATAATAAGTTCATGTGTTGACAAGGATAGGAGGAGAAAGCAGATAAACAGAGAGCTGAAACTCATCACTGTGCTGCTTCTCTTTTCACTGTCCAGTCACAGGCTGTGGCAGGTCCAGGGTGATCTGGGCTTACTGTAGAGGAAGTTGATAGCATGATGTTGGTTTTGAGACTGAGGGCATCTAGAGAGAGGAAAATATAATCTCTGCATTATAGGTGAATATTGCAGAAAAAAACATTTAAAAAACTCTATTGATGTATGGCAGTATTTCACATGCAAAATACAACCAAGAAGCATATATTTAAATGGTAACTGTATGCAACACCTGTTTACCACTATAAAACTATCTTCACAAATTCTTAAGTATCCAGATTTTTATGCACCCATTTGAAAAAGTAGCAAACTAATCTTGGTTGGTACTTGCTTGCAGAAACAATATCCTTGGTTAGGAGGGCTTTTGCAGGAGGTAAAACATCATCTGCACTTGTCACGTACAAAGTCAGAAGTATTTTGTGGACGTCAGGAAATGCTCGATACCATTGTGAGTCGACTCAGGAATAGTAAAGCCCCTGTGCAGTTCCCTCTCGTCATCTACGGAGCTTCTGGGTCAGGAAAAACGGCTGTTATGTGCAAGGCTTTTGAAATGATGAGACAATCTGCAACAACTGATGGAAATCATGTGTTGGTCTTAAGGCTTCTTGGAACTTCACCTCAAAGCTCTGAAATCCATGATGTCCTGAAAAGTATTTGCTATCAGGTAGGTTTGCTTAGACTTGTACTTACGCTCAAACTCAGTTAGATTGCTGCATTCTTATGACTGTCATTTTCTACTTAGGTATGCTTAGCATTGGATCTGCCCCTCCCCACTGCACAAGTCACTAACATTTACAATGAAACAGTGAGATTTTTTCAACAGATCCTCACACAAGTATCCGATCAAAGGTCAGAAACATTGGTACTTTTTCTTGACTCACTTGATCAGCTCTCCTCATCAGATGGTGCCCATCATCTCCACTGGCTGCCAAAGGAATGCCCACCCAATATACATATTGTTTTGTCCACATTACCTCATGAAGGAGGAATTCTAAACACCCTACAAGAGAAAATCACAGATGCAACATCTTATTTGGAGGTGCAACAACTCTCTGGTGAACAAGGGGGCCAGGTGATTGAAATGCTCATGTCTTCAGTTGGACGGAAGTTGAGTCCTGCCCAACTTGATATTGTGCTGAACAGCTTCAGAAAATGTGGGCAGCCACTGCTTCTTAAACTGGCATTCGATGAAGCCAAGAGATGGTCATCTTACATGCCACCCTCAGAACTATATATTGCCACAAGTACAAAAGAAGCTGTATATCAGTTATATCAGAGGCTGGAAGATGTTCATGGCAAATTATTGGTATCTCATGCCCTTGGTTACATTGCAGCATGCAGGTTGGTTAATACATTTATCTACATTATAAGAATAGCTTTAATATTATATGTATAGTTTAGGTTTTGCAGGCTACAATATCCTTTCAAATTTCATAGAGCCATTCTTACAGGCACAATGTAATAAATGTATGAAAATTGTTCAATACAAGAATCCAGTGTAGTGCAGACCGGGACTGGTCTGGCTGTTTGGTACCAGGTTACATTCCTTGATAGGCACACGGTAGTTCACAGTCACTCCAGTCAATAAGTAGGCAGTGAATGTCTTTTTTACAGTTTATTTGCTTAAAGAACTGGGATATGGTAAGCGTGAGCCTAGGGATACTCCAATAACATCAACAACTTGCAGTAGAGGACACTAAATCTGAATTATTCCTTCAGGGTGAAGGCACCCCTTTCAGATGAGGTAAAGAGGTACTAAACAGGGACTCCTCAGCAGACATATACTGTAGCCCCGAATGTACAAAGGAAACGCTTTCCCAAAAGAGGCCCCAAAAGGCTTGCATTCAGGAGTGGAGTGACCATTTGGAAACTCGGGCACTGCCCGAGGGCCCGGGGTCAGTAAGGGGCCCCATGAGATGCCCCTGATACCTTTTTCATATGCTTTTTTGAGTTTGGGCAAGGACATAGGGGCCCATGATCCCCTATTGCCCGGGGGCCCCATGAGTTGTCAGTCCGCCCCTGCTTGCACTCACTGTTTCCTGAATACTGTGTACCCGCCTTCACTATCAGTCAATTTCTGTACTTGGATTGCCTGTGTCCTAGATCCTTAGAAAAACTATCTGCAATCTTCAGCAGCCTAGAACAGAAGTCCCCCAGCCAAGTCTGGGACCCCAAAAAGTATTCTTTTAGCTGCAAGTGAACCCCCAGGGATGCCACAGCCCTCGGGCTGGGTCTTACTCCCCCAGGAACAACAGCCCTTTGTTCTGGGTTCCAGCCTATTTATGCCTCTTTATACCCCCTGCTAGTCACTCACTTACCTGACCAGGTATTTGCTGAAGAGGTATTATTATGCAGACCAGGATCTATGTTCTTACACCCACTATATTCCATAATTCAGAGGGATGCAGGGGAAAGTAAACAAGCCTGCACCAGCAGAACCCAGAACAGATACTAATAAACAATTGTTGCTCTCCCTGGCTACAAAGAGGCCAAAAAACGAAATTGAACTACTAGTAGCCTATTGGAGTGCGACCCCAGTTTATATCCTAAGCAACTAAAGTACTAAACAAGGTTCATAGCAAGCCAGTGCAGATTTGTGATGACAAACAAGTCTACCAAGTAACACAGAGTTACTACTTGGGCATTGATGCCTGGGCATCAACATAGTTTGCATAGTCTTTGCATATTTCCTTCAGTCCTGTTGTGAATGTCATATGCATGAAGGTGAGCCCTAAACAGTGTACCCAAGAGTTGAATAAACACATGTGAATACTTAAGCTTTGTCTATAATGTAGAAATCGACTGTTCACAGACATAAAGCAATTTTCAGCAATGGCACCGCATATGTTGCAGGTCATACACTTCTTCAGACAGAAAAGGGGGCTGTTTATGCAAAAGGCACTCTCAATTGTAATATTACAGAAATAGCACACATACAGGGGTTGGACAAAAATATGGAAACACTACATGATTTGTAGGTGTGAAAGTGACTACATGCTTCACGTTGAAAGCGGAAGTGATGTAACATTCTTTTGCTTCTACTGTGTGATGAGACACCTAGCTAACAGGTGGGGAGCCTCATTTTCGTCATTCACTGCTTCAAAGAGAGAAAATTGTTGGTGCCCACTTAGCTGGTGCCTCTGTGACTGAAGTTGCTCATTTATTTGTTGTGTCACAAGGTACAGTATCAAAGGTTATGATGACATACATTTTCGGGGAAAATGTTGTCTGATAAGCATAACTGCAGTCGACGTGGTCAACTGACTGAAAGAGATAAAAGAACATTGCAGACAATTGTGACCCAGAATAAGTAAACAACTGCTGCAAAAGTGACTGCAAATCTCAGTCCCATGAAGAGTTTTGATTTTTCTACTAGTTGGTCTCTCGTTTTTTTGTTTTAAGAACACCAAACATACAGGTGACAACCAATTCTCTAAATGCTGATATAAAACTGTACTGTGGAGTGCCCATTATACTGTCTAAATTTATATCTTTCCACAACCACATTTAATTTAGGCAAAAAAGGTCTTTAATGCAATGAGACCCGTATCTTAGAGTATGTACACCCTCACCTTGTAAAACAACCCATTCTGTTTAAAATATTATTGAAAGGCAAAACATTTATTTATACATATAAAATACATTGTAAATACGTTTTCCCCCTTTTTTATAAGAGATCATATACCCTCTTTCTCAGCTGCATAAGGAGCTCAGGGAGGAGAAACAGTAGTACACTGATCTTCTCAGTGAATGGCTGTGCCAGCACAAGTCTAATCATAGGATTAGTTTCCAGCACAGTTAGAAAACTGACCGTGCTGTGCTCTCATGCCTAGTGTGGTCAGTTTTTAATAGGAAAGCAAAGGTACTGGAAGAATAACAGGGATTTCACTCTAAGGAAGAAATACAAAGAGAAAATTATACTTTTTCATACAAGTAAATGGTACAGCATGGGCGGCACAGTGGCTTAGTGGTTAGCACATCTGCCGCGCAGTAAATGGGTCATGGGTTTGATTACCGACCAAAGCACCTCCTGCATGGAGTTTTCATGTTCTCCCTGTGCTTGCGTGGGTTTCCTCCCACATTTCAAAGACATGTTAATTGGCTCCTGTCTAAAATTGTCCTAGTTCATCCCTGGCCATGCAGGATCTCCTGCATGGTAGGGGTTGGGGAAAGACCTGGCAACCTACCCTGTAAAAATAATTGCTAAGAGAATTCATGGAAAAAGTTGCTTGTGAGTGACAGTCCATGCAATCGCCAAGGGTCGGATATGACTGAATGGATAGATAGATAGAAATGGTACAGCAGGCACATACAGTGAAGGAAATAAGTATTTAATCCCCTGCTGATTTTGAATGTTTGCCTACTCACAAAGAAATGATCAGTCTAAAAATCGAATGGCAGGTGTATTGTAACACTGAGACAGAATAGCAACAAAACATTCAAAAGAAATGCATGTCTAACAAATGATGCACTGATTTGCATGTTCATGAGGGAAATAAGTATTTGATCCCCTTTGCAAAACATGACTTAGTACTTGGTGGAAATCCTTTGTTGGCAATCACAGAGGTCAGACGTTTCCTGTAGTTGGCCACCAGGTTTGCACACATCTCAGGAGGGATTTTTGCCCACTCCTCTTGGCAGATCCTCTCCAAGTCATTAAGGTTTGGTGGCTGACATTTGGCAACTCCAACTTTCAGCTCCCTCCACAGATTTTCAATCGGATTAAGGTCTGGAGACTGGCTAGGCTACTTAATGTGCTTCTTCTTGAGCCACTCTGTTGCCTTGGCCGTGTGTTTTAGGTCATTGTCATGCTGGAACACCCATCCACGACCCATTTTCAATGCCCTGGCTGAGGGAAGAAGGTTCTCCCCCAAGATTTGACGGTACATTGCGCTGTCCATTGTCACTTTGATGCTGTGCAGTTGTCCTGTCCCCTTAGCAGAAATACACCCCCGAGGTAGAACAAACATTCAAAATCAGCAGGGGATCAAATACTTATTTCCTTCACTGTATCAGGAATTTGAAATGTTGGGTTGACATATTCTTAATACCACCTGTTGCTGGTGGAGTATATGTAGTGCTACCCCTCCAGGAGCCACTTGTATATTTAGGTCCTCTGTTCATCACTAGGCCCAAAAGAGAACCGCACCCATGCTGGTACCACCAAAGTATTGGGAGGGAATCTCCTGGCGGCCACACAAGCAAAATACACACACACTATTGTAAAATAACTACATAAGTTTTATTAGGATCAATAGAAAAGGAAGGTGGGAGATTTAATGGGTAACAAAAGTTCACAATAAATGAGGTGATTCGGCACAGAAACCAGTCAATACAGTACAAATTCCCTTCGTAACGTGGCCGCTTCTCCTACAGGACTGAGGATATAAACTATAGCCCTCTGACTGGGAAATTACTCCCCAAGTGAGACAAGTATGAGTAACAAGGAATTAAGGCTTGTTCACATGTAGGTTCTCAGTCAGGAGAGTATAGTTTTAGGCTCTAGGAGATCTGGTAAACCTACTGCACACCAGTACTTTTAACAGAGATAGTCCCTGCGGGATTGGCAGGTGTGTTTCCTTTTAAATTAATAAATAGAGCTTAATAGGAAAAACTTGAACATAGATGGATGCAGCTACAGGGTTCTGCTATTTCTTGCAGTAGGCAAGTCTGATTAGCTGCAAACATGTAATTCTCAAATATATGAATCCAAGCAGTAAGAGGTGTTACAGGATCACTAGGTTATAGAAGAAAAGATGCAGGCTGCTGTAGAAATATAAGAGCCATCCTTGTTGCCAATCTTGTTGTGTCCTGTAGTTGGGAGGCAGAGTAGTTATGGGGTACTTTAATAACAAGTTCAGGCACCTATGAGTATATCATAACAGGAACAGCAACTGAAAGTAACTTTTACAGTGTATAGAAAGTATTATACATAATTTTCCACTTATATCTCAACTTTAGGACTGGTCTATCAGAAGCTGAACTAAAGGATATTCTCTCTATAGATGATGAAGTTCTCGCAGATATTTATCAGTATTGGGCTCCTCCAAGAAGTGATGTCATACGAATTCCTGCACTGTCATGGACTCACTTACGCCATGACCTGGATGGATATTTGGTGGAGAGGCAGGCCGATGAATGCACAGTGCTGGGACTATACCACAGGTATGAAAACCTAATCCTGTTTTAATGTGAACCTGTGTTTTGCCCATGCAGGCTCCACCAGCAGCTTAGACATATCTTCTCTTTGCTCCCTCACTTATCTGTTTGGCCAAAGGAAGCAAAGTACTCTCAGGGGTTGGGGTAGCATGGGACTTGAATATGCTGGTGCTAAGTGATTGGCCACTCAATAATGCAGTGCTGTCACATGGAAATGGGTGGGAATCTTGCATCCTGAGTAAGCTCAAGTAGTGATACAGAGCTTACACAGAGGTAAAGCTCATCATTCCCAAACAAACTTATCATTGGGGGAGCACAGAACATCAGTATAGACTGCTGGTGGGACCACTGTGAGAGTGAATGCATTGTTTTGCCTTGCATAGTCAAAGCATAGGTTTCTTTAAACACATATAGCACTTTCCAGTTAGCTAGGTTTATTGTTTTGCAGTTAAGCCATGGATCAGTCAGCCTGGGAGAGAGGTAGTAAGTTCACCTCAGCACAGGCTAGGGGGCTCTACAAGTCAGGGCTTCTGGAGTCCTCCCACTTATTCAGAAACTCAGAGAATATTCTGGAAGAGGGGCACAAGAAAGGAGGAGGCCCAGATCTGCATGTCTGAGGGACCTTGGCCAATCCCTAGGCAAGAGGCTGGGCATGTGAAACAAGAATAACTCTTAAATTTGTCAGAACCTGAGCAGCAACAGAGTCGGGTGGAAGGTGGACTCCTAGGGAGGACAACCTGTCAGCCAGGAAGGGGCCAGCCAAGCAAGAGGTCTGAAAGCAGCTTCAACCCACTAAGCTTACAGGACAGGACAGTGTGAGTATTTCCAAATCTCTAGTGTCAGATAAAGGGAGAGGGCAGTCAGGTGCAAGATGCAACTAATTCTCATCACACTCACTCTCACTACTTCATTGCTAGATCTTGGAATCCCTTGCCCAGGGATACCCTCATTGCAGCTGGGTGAAGAGGAGGATTCATCTGGGATATGAGGGGGTACACTGAGGGGACTTCAGTGCTTCTTAACCACTTTAAGTCCAGACACTTTCACCCTCTTCCTGTCCAGGCCATTGTTCGACTTTCAGTGCTATCACACTTTGAATGACAATTTCACAGTCATGCAACACTATACCCATATGAATTTTTTAGCATTTAGACAGATAAAACTTTATTTTGGTGGTATTTATTCACCACTGGGATTTTTATTTTTTTTGCTAGATAAATGAAAAAGTCCAAACATTTTGAAAAAAAAAGTGTTTTTCTTATAAAATTTAGCAAATAAATAATATTCCTTCATAAATCTGGGCCAAAATGTATTCAACTATCTTTTTAGTAAAAAAAAAAAAAAAAAAATAACCCAAATTAGTTTATAACCTAAAATTATAATTTTTCAAAAACATATTTTACATTTTTAATTTATTTTTTATATTATTATTTCTACGTTCTTTACATACTGTCACCCTAGCAGTACAGTGTCACCATAGTGATGAAGGGATGATGAAGATTTTTTTTTTGTTTTTGTTTTCATAAAGGCTGTAAAAGCAATAATTTGTCCTTCTCTCTGGCTGCATTCTTGCAGCCATTGAGAAATACTGTGCGAGCTGTAATTGGTCACAGCTTGTCACATGGTACATGTCAGGAAGTGACATCTTGCTTACTGCTATTCATTTGATCACTGATTGGCCAATCAATGATCACATGATCAGACAGAGGTCCCGTACAGCGATCAGTGTTCCTCCGGACACAGCGGGCACCGGATCGCGGTGCGTGCGCTCCCAGGGAACGCACACAGGCAGGGAATGCAGGAGGACGTTTATAAACGGCCACCCGCTCCTGCACTGATCCTGTTCGGCTGTTTATATGCATAGGTCGGACGGGAAGTGGTTAACAGAGACAATTGTTATTTTTGATTTACATTTTTATACAGTATTGTTGCTAAGAAGTTTGTCCTCCAGTTTGCAGTTCCTTGGACATTCCATATACCCCTTGATCCCATCCAAGTTGTTAATCCCTTAATAAAAACAACTAAAAGCCAGCTCAATAACAGTCTACTGTCTACAAGTTTGCAAGTGTGGAAAATGTGTGTTGCCTGGCCGTGCAGAGCTTAGGGAGACCCAAAACAAATCCAGCGGCCCTCAAGAAGGAAGTGCTACACACATTTAAATTCTGTGCTGGTCTGTTAAAGTTTATGCCCAGACTCCAGCCTAAATATTTTTTAGTACTGGATGCAGTGGTAAAGAATTAAAATGCCTGTTGAATTTTACTGATAAAAATGGTAGTGCAGTGCCATTTTGCGTTGGTCTAGAGTGAAAGAACTGTACAGCCGAATGTCGGGGTTGTATTGCGCATGCGTGGGCACCATTTTCCCTTAGTCTCAGAGGAGGAAGCAGTGCAGACGGCAGTGTATCTGGAAATTGTCACAGCCAATGGCCGTACAGTTATGAACTATTATATATACTTTTATTACATCTCGGCAATTAAACTAGCAATATTGCCTTATGTTATTAAAGCTAATAATTAGCTAATATTTAATTAGTTATGTGCCGCAGCTAATAGATGCATCGCGCATGCATGGGCACCATTTTCCCTGAGTTTCATGGGGGAAAGGTATACATGTCATAATAATGTAGTAGAGAGCAGGGGGCGGACTGACCATTTGGAAACTCGGGCACTGCATGAGGGCACGGGGTCAGTAGGGGGCCCCATGAAATGCCCCTGATACCTTTTTCATCGGCTTTTTTGTGTTTGGGCAAGGACACAGGGGCCCCGTGATCCCCTATTGCCCGGGGGCCCCATGAGTTGTCAGTCCGCCCCTGGTAGAGAGACTCCGTTGTGTCAATATGTCAAATGTAGTTCATCCCTCACTTGGGAGAACTTAAAGTGCATATTAGATGTTTATAAAGAGAAATAGAAATATGTACTAGCATATGTGTAAAAATACCGCAATGTGAATACGTAAAAGCCCTCTTGAGCGCAAAATACATATATAAAACACCACTAAAAATACATCCATAAGAAGCATAAAATAGTCATGTCAGACCAGTATCACATAGTTAAGAAATTACATGAAAAATGCATGCTGGAAACATATACGGTAGATACATCAGTTAAACATATAAATTGTATATAAAACCATGAATGGAAATTAAAATGGTACTACCCAACAATAAAACGGTAAACGTGCATGGACAAAATGAAAAAAATGTAAAAGATGTAAAAAATGGGATCAAGAATACCTAAAAATGTAATAAAATACTAGAACTTAAAATAGAACCATATAGACCAGGATACCTCAAAAACATATTAATTCAGCAAGAGGGGGAGAGGGATTGTATAAAAATGTATACAAGACTAATATGATGAATTATTGTACTGTAAAAAGTGAAAAACTAATAAATGATCATGATGGTCTCAAATCAACCCATATAGACCAGGATACCCTAAAGTGCACTGCCCAATAAAAAAGGATGATAAACACTAAAACTATGCACATGATGCATGGTATATGAGATATATATCTCATAAATGGACACAAATTCCTAACTGCGGTTCCGCGCATGCGCACTTGTGCCCTTCTTTGGCAAGATGGCCCGATGATTTTTTATGCTTTTTTTCAAAATTCTGAGGATATAAATAGCACAGTCAAGACGTCAGGCTGCAAATAGGCATACCCCCTTTGACAATGTACTTGTAGTAAGAAACGCATCAAGGAGGAGCCCCTGCAAGCCGTTGACATCAAGCCGTCAGATCATGGAGATCCAGCGGCCACCTAATGATGCCAGCTGGTTAGTTTGCTTTGTATGCAATTGTCATTATATTGCTCCTGTCATATACTGCAGATTTTGTAAGTTTTTGGATTTATTCCTTTTTTATTATCACGATTAAAGTACTATTGAACTACTACACTATGGGATTATCCCTATTTTTTGCTCTGCATTGAGCACCTTAATCCCCTAGCGATCCTCAGTGAACGTCCCAGTGCCTGGAAGAGGCTAAACCATCTATATTGGCTATTTTAATATCCTGTTACCAAAGGAAGGCCACCCACCCCTAGGCTGCATCGCGGACCACCCTTAGAAGGGACCCGTGACTGATCGACATTACATGATACAACGCGCTTTTGATTAGCGCATCTGGTGAGTGCGCATTTTATATATATTTATCGGCACACCCACCTGAGGACCATATGTGCACTGGGATCTAACTGAGTTACCTGGAGATCTGTCTTTTAAGATTTAATGACATTTTATGATTCTAACGCACTTCACACGCGTTATGCGTTTATTATGAATATTGTGATTTGATCTTTACGCATTTTTTTATGAATTTGTAAGACCACAACACACCTATAACCACCGTGTGAGTATTTTATATGATTAAAACGCACCCATTACCAATGTGCGTTTATTTTATCTGCTTAATATTTGTGTATTGCTCTATATTTTTAATTATTAATTATTTTTAGCGCTAGGCTACCATTTTTACCAGATTTTATTGAAGGCATATGGTTTACCTTTTTTCACCTGCTTTAGGTTTTAGCGCTCGCTTTTACTTTCTACCTTTTTGTTGAATTTTACTGCTTTTTGCTACTCTGTTTGAGAGATTTCTGCTCATTTCCTGGCACAGTGATAATTACTTCACCTGAGGTGAAGGGAAATTTAAAACTGCAGATTTTAGAAAGGAAAGGGAAGGATAGAACCCCTGGTTTATTGCTGTTTGTGCCTCATTTGCAAGCTCTCTTCCTGTCCGGTGAAACCATTGCAAGCATGACAATAAGTAAAAGGAGATCTATCCAATGAATCCCCAGATAGGAGTAAAACCTAACATGGGTTCTAATCCTTTGCCATTCTATGGAAAATTTGTAGCTTTACACATTTATTTCATAAAGTAAATAACAATTAATTTGACTACATGCAAAGACCTACAATTCTGCAAAACATCATGTTATGAACTACACTGATTTTATATTTCCTACCCTCCCAGACCAACTGCTTTATGCTGACCACATCCTACACCTGATTACCCTTAAATTCACATTAATAATACTTGGAGCTCTCTTTCATTTTTTTTCTGTTCTGTTTTTTTTTACTATAAAAAGGAAGAAGACCCCCCCCCCCCCCCCCCAAAAAACAAAAACAGTTTACCTTATTCTCTGATTTTAAACAGCAAATAAAAAGCCAAGACAGTGCAAAATCCTCCACAATTGCCTCTTTTTGTAAAGTAGACACCCAAAGATGATCTTTTTTTTTGCCTCCATTTTTGGAAATGAAGAAACATGCTGGTGTTGAGGGATTTAAAACATGGAGTTTGGTAGTGGTGCACAAGATGTAGTAAATGTAGAGCTCATACACCAAGGGATCAGGAGGTGAAAAGTTTAATGTACTTACAGTGGGAGGATGGAGATGAAGGTGAGAGGTTAATATACAGGTCAGATCACAGACAGGACTCTTAGCACTGTTACTGCATTGAACTGAAGGTGTGTATAAGAATAAAGAGCGCATACTTATCACCAGCCTCTAAAAGCGACATAGCTGTTAACAACAGCCTTTGTTTACTCTATGTGATGCTGTGATTGGTCACAACAATCATGTGGTACAGAGCTACTGTAATTGATGCTGTACCACTTGCCTGTAATTCAGTGTGTCCAATCACAGTGCAGTCACAGTGCGATTGCAGACTATGCATGCACAGGAGCACACGGGGGCGCAGTTCCCAAAAGGACATAATAGGGGAGAAGACATGCTGTACATGTACAGTGGCCAGTCCACACTTGTTATATCATTGAGTGCGTGGAATTAGGTAACTGATAACTGAACATACTCTATTTTTTTGCAATAATGCCACACAGAGCTATCAGTCTTGCCAGATTATGTTTTTTTTTTATTATTAAAGGTACTTATATAGTGCCGTCAATTTACCCAGCGCTTTACATATGTATATGTATAGTATATTCATATCAATCCCTAACCCTCAAGGGGTGTACAGTCTAAGGTCCCTAACTCACATTCATACATACACATACTAGGGCCAATTTAGACAGGATCCAATTAACCAGCAAGCATATCTTTGGAGTGTGGGAGGAAACCCATGCAGGCATAGGGGGAACATGCAAACTCCAGACAGGTGGTGGTATTCGAACCAACAACCCGACTACTGCTGGGTGGAAGTGCTAACCATTTGGACACTGTGTTGCCCTGTTGACCTCCTAGTAATACAGATTTTATAGCACCCTCCTCTTGTTAGGTTGCTAGGTAATTTTAGTATTTGGTTTCATTGTACTGAATTGGATTTCTTGAGCTGAGAGTTTGATTACTTCCTCCTGCCTCTGAAAGAAGTTTCCAGAACATAGGACAGGGAGATTCAAATAATCAGCTGAATATTTAACATGCCCTAGCCAAGCCCTGGAGAGAGGTGTCCAGAAGGTGGCTTGGGAGGTGATAAATGTGCAGGAGGTCTGAGTAGATTGTTCTTTTCCCTCAAAAGAGAGTTCCAATCTCCTTGAGGGCTGTTTCCCCTGGAAGATAGCCAGAGAGACTAGAAGCTGCTCCTGCGTCATTGTGAGTAAAGACCTTGTTGGGGACTGATTGCTGTGAGTGCTATAAAGGAACTAATTGCCAAAAGTGGTTCCTACCTTCAGGAACAGGGGCGGACTGACCATTTGGAAACTCGGGCACTGCCCGAGGGCCTGGGGTCAGTAGAGCTCCCCATGAGATGCCCCTGGTACCTTTTTCATAGGCTTTTTTGAGTTTGAGCAAGGACACAGGGGCCCCATGATCCCCTATTGCCCAGGGGGGCCCATGAGTTGTCAGATCGCCCCTGTTCAGGAAAGCTACTTTTGGAAGATAAGAGAGAGGTCTATTCTGCTGTTGTTGTTACTGATCATTTTGGAGTATCCTGTGAGCCTAAACTAATCTCCTGTTAAAGGTCTTCAGCAATAAATCCTAAAAAGGCATCCCCTAGACTGAGCCTTAATTGTTGGTGTGAGTGGGACCGTGCTTGGGTATATTCTCAGCAGCCCCTTCATGGTGAGCGCTACAATTTAATTGTCTGACATTAGAACAGTTTTCAGGGAGAAGCCAAGGAGTAGGGTTTAATGAAGAGCATTTCAGAGTTTGTTCAGAGTCTGAACTTTGTGTTAAATGTCCAGCTATGTACCTGGAACACATATCCAAAGAACAGTTTAATCTCATTTATTTTTTCACTGAATGATTTTGTGGCTACAGGCAGTTCATTGAAGTAGCACAGGAACACTACCTGAGTGATTCAGAAAAGAAGAAAAGACATCATACCCTGGCAGAATATTTTTTGGGCACATGGAGTATGGGGGCCCTTCGGTGGATAAATCTCCCACTCCTCAAGCAATCCCTTTGTGCGGACAGAAAGGTACTTAAACTTTAGCTGTTCCAAAATGCAGTTCATTGTCATTTTATACTGTAACCCTGAGAACCAGCTATGTGGGCTTTGAAATTTAGCTAACAAAAACATTGCTTTTAAAAAACAGTTGCTTTCAATAACTTCATTGATAACAATTATCAGCCTATAAGGAGATTAAAAAAACAGCATAACCTAGCTAGTCTCTAATCTAATCTAACACAGACTCCCACCCCTTCCACCACCACCTCCCAAGGTGTTACCTCTACCCACAGTGGTGGCCTCATCTGGTGTTTACGTCCTCTGGCCAAAATTCTCTGGCCATGCCTGAAAAATAACTCCCTATATGTTTGAATTGGGATGTAATTCTACAACCCCTACTCTATAAGTGTGACCCCATTCAATTCTATAGTTAGTTACTGCTC